TAAAAAGTAGGATTCCCTTAAATAAATGTAATGATACCTTGAAATGTTACTTTTCTACTCTCATCAATAAATGATAAATTCTGAAATAAGTGGTTCAAAGTGTGTGTCTAATATACCCTACTGGAGAGTTGTACCAGTTTAAAGTGATTATGTTCTTTAGACAAAATGTGACAGAGAAATGGGTCCTCAGAAAAGGAGACCAAATAAAGTAATATTTGCTAACTTTTGCTCTTTATGAAAAGAAAAATTTAGTGAGTTTATTAAATTTATCATCATCTGGAGAGTAGAACAGTTTCATGCTGTGTATTTATTTTTTAAAAAGATTATACTTCTGGGAGGTATGCATTATGTATCAGGATTAAAAATTTCCTTGGTAGCAGATTCAGGAGACAAAACCTCAGGCGACTACTATGTTGTATTTAGGTACAGACTGTTTTGAAATATTATGTTTCTATACTTCAGCATAATTTCAGCAAAAATAACCAATAATATTATAATTTTGACTTGTGACTCCTTACATTGATACCTGAGAATGTTTAATAAATACAGAACAGAATTCATAGGATATGTGATTCAGAAGTTAAAAAAAAGACCATAACCCTGTTGCTTTTTTACAGGCTATGAAAACCAAGAGGACATTGTGGTTGTTTTAACTGAATGGTCACTCAACTTCTATGAAACTCATCTGACCATATAACCATAAAATAAGGCATCCAGAGGGCTTTTTCCTCCAAGGCCAGTCAAATAATACTGACTTACATAAGCCAGAGAAATAATTCAGAATGGCATCATTAAGAAGTCTGACATTATGCAGAGCTAGAGAATTCGCTTTATTATAAAAAAAAATCCAATTGGATACTTTGACAGTTTATGCCTTTGAAAGCGGTAGAATTAAAACAGAGCATTGAAATAGTTGTACAAGTGATTTGAGAGTAGGTATCTGGTACTATGTAATATTAATTTGTCTTCTCATAGTTTATTTGCGGTCACATTTCTTGGTTCTATTTTCACAAAAATGTCTTGTGGAGAAACTTGAATCTTGAGAGAACACGAAAAATCCTAGTACACGACCGCAGAGGAAGCTATGCTGATTCCAATAAGGGCAGACCATCCTGGTACAAGTGTTACAAGTGAAAGGAAGTGGAATGATGACTTGCATACCATTTCAATTACAGAAAAAAGCAAGTGGGTTTGTCTATCCACAGGCACGATCCTTTTAGGAAATTCCACTAAAAGAAAACAGGTCTTCCTGAAATGAGTGGGAAGGCCTCACACTCTGGGCACTGTAATTAGGTCTGTTTGTGTTCACTGGGCCTTGGCTCTCTCAAGGATGCATGTGGTTTCATATATTAAACCTCACTCGGACTGCCCTTTCACCCTGACTCAAATATAATCACTCACAGAATGGGTCTGACGAAGCTTCTTAAGTATGCTCCACCCAATGGAAGTGGGGTAAAGGATACAGAGAAAACTCACATTTATTGAGTGCTTACTATACGCCAGTTGTTTGCTTAGTACTTTTTACACATTATCATATCATCAGTTTTTTACAACTGTAAGAGGTAAGTAGTATTATAATCCCATTAAAAGTAAAGACAAGGTGAAGCTCACTTTAAGTGACTATAGTCTAAAGTCTAAAGACAATAGTCTTTCCCCCATTTCATATTGCATCCTACCATCAGTCCAAGACAAAAACAATATTGGAAACAGTGTCCATCAAAAAGAAAAATAAATGTGGGCTAGCAACCATTTGCTCTAATGAATGGTTAATACATGTAAGAAGTAGGCAGTAGAATTTACATACCATATGGTTAAGAAGTTATGACTCTAACATCACCATAAACTTAGTTTCTTTACTATGAAAATGTAAAGAACAACTGTACCTAATTTTCACATTCTTAGCTGAAATTGGAAGTGAAGTTTAAATGAAGTTAAAATGATATAAGATGGAGAGAGTTTATAATGTACAAGGAAAAACAGTGAATTTACGCACATCACGTCAAACTAAAACCAATACATTTTCTGAAATCAAAAGTTGTTCTAACATCTAGTAACCTAAACTAGGGGCTAATTTAAAAGATAGTTTTTAAAACACAGTTATATAAAAATCAATAGATTCCTTCTCTCATGTTTCTTCATCAAAAATTGTTACTCATTCCTAATTTTTCCTATTAAAAGAAAGTAGTATCTAAACCTTCATTGATGCTATAATAGAAGAGTAAATTTTAGTTATCAAAATAGTGGAATTACATTAAAAATAGCAAGATATTTTAAGATCTAACTGTAGGCAACCATTTTTGTTTATTATTTTTCTTCGGCAGGAGTAAAAATTAAAAGTCACCTAAAATAGGCCAACTGGTACGTCCAAAATAATCGAACAGGCCTGGATTGATGTGAGAAAAGAAAAGTAAATCCTGTGCCAAAATTAATTTTAATAGCTCCAAAGAACTTCCAAAAAGTACCTTGCAAGTATTTATTACTTCTGGCAGCACAAATGATTGTGTAGTCTACGCTGATGCCTCAAACTCATTTATTTTATGCATGAATATGTAAACATTATGTTTCCAATTTTATTCTGGAATGGCATTTAATTTCACAAGGCTTGTGATTCACACAGTCCCTTGGTTCTATCTCAAATGTGTCCGCATCCTCCATCTTGCAGCAGTTCTGGTTTCTGCACCCTGTCAAGTGTAACCTTTGTGCTAATATGGTAAAATCAGTTCTCACGTTTAGTGCTGAGAGACTGATAACCGAATTCTCAAATGAACTACACATTTGCAAGATGAAGTACAGAGCTGTGGACAATGACTGCTTTCCCACAGTGTAAATTCTTCAGACTCAGCTGTCAACATGTAAGTGTACAACACAAAAGCAGCTTTAACTTGATGACTTTTTTCCTGCAAAGCCATAAAAATGAAATGGATACTATAGTCTCCTTTATGTTATTCCATCTTCTTGGATTTTCTTTCACATGGACAGTGAAAGCCTGTATACCCTTTAGAGTTCTTAGTAGATCAAAGACTCCTTGCTGAATAAAAAACAAACATTTTTCCCCTCCTACATAACTATTTCAATTTGAGAACAGAGCAGATAGCAATGTTGAAAGAGGTTTTTTTTTTTTTTTTCACCCACTAATTTTGCCTCCATACAAAGGCCAGGCATAATAATTGACAGTGAATACTTCAAAATTATTCCCTGGGATTTTAGAGTTTGGTTCTTTTATAGTTTTACACAGATAGTTTTATGGTGATCTTAGCATCTTTTCCTTTCCTTGGGGAGGCTACTAATTTCTCATGTGGTCACCCACTATTTCTCCTGTACCCCTGCCCCAGGGTAAATATTTGACTATATGTCCAAACCCTTTTGAACACCACAGTGTTTGCACTCAGTTATGAATGTTCAATTATGAACGATATGAGGCATCATCTTCATTGAAGAGAACAAACAAAGGGGAAGTGATGTCAAACTTAACTGGAAACTTGGGAGAGCAGGAAACAAGGGAAGCTAAGAGAACTGACTTTTTAAAGAGAAAGGGCTACTTAACAATAAGAAATACTACAAAAGATATTGTCCAAATGAAGAGACTGGTTTAAAGAAAGGGTATATAAAGTTATCAGTTACTTTTAGAGAAGCAGTTTCATGGGCTCAAACTCAGGTTTAAAGTTGGCTAAAGGCAACTCCGTAAATGGACTTAGATGCATAGGGACTTCATTTTACACCATGATTAAAGGAAGGGTTTGGATAGAAGAGACAAGTCTTCAGGTCAGGGGAGGAAATCAGGGATAGAGAGATAAAAACAACAAAAGAAATGGACACTGGGTAAAGTTATGAAAAAATATCAATACAATTTAGTGGAAAGGCAGAGAGGTCAAACATGGAAGAGGCACACCATTTACTTTAACACATAAAAAAATAATAGGATAATCAGAAATGTTGCAAGAAGGCAAAGATGCTCACTGAAGTAATAAGAGGTGTGTTTTATGTTTTCAGTAGTCACTTTAAAATATGAGATATTTCAGGACAGATTATCACACACAACTCAGGGTCTCTGGAAGCTTCAGTGAAGCTCAAAAGCAGAACTGTGATTTTCTTCTAACAAACCAATGAAAGAAGTGATAAATGGAATTTTGGGTTCCAGGAAGGGCAGGAAAAATGTGAAGAATGAGATATTCAAGCATCTTACTGAGAACTTAGATAGACTATAAACCATGAGCTCCATCCTTATTATGAGGAAGTAAAACCAGGAAAATTGTATTTATTTACTTTAGGCATATAAATTTTGCACATTTTCTCCTATACTAAATTTATTTATATACTGAAAAGAGAAAGAGAGTAAAAAAGGAAGGGATCTCCTTGATCAAAGTGAAGCCAGTGCCTGAAGTTCATGAAACTGGGTTCTTCTTCCAAAAATTCTACTACTGAATTAGACAGGATCTTAGATAAAATAGTAGTCTTAATATCCTCACCTATAAAAACTCAAAGAGGATTTAAGGAAGATGAAAAGAGAATAAAATGAAATAATATAAAAGTCTTTTGAGATTTTGAAAGTGTTTTCAATGTAATGTTATTAGCATTACAATTTTTTAATACGTTCAGTAATATATGATACTCTCAGGGCACCATGAGAGACGCGGAGGAAAAATGTACTACATGACGATTATGTGTTGTGGTATCCATGTGAGACAAGACTGGTAAGTCCTCTTATCTTTTTCCATTGCCTCCCTTCCGCAGCTCCAGCCCAGATCTATTTCTCTCCACAGTTAACTGCTGAGAAACTTCAATTTTGGCATGAAGCAAAGATTTCCCTCAATCTTTTAATCTCGTTTTGCTCTTTTTCCCCTATTTTCTCACACCCACAGTCATGAGGTCACCACCACAAGTTCAATGGCATACAAAATCTCAAGTCACTCCACTGATACTGTACAAGGCAAGCTCTCTACTGACTACTCCAGTTAACACGTGTTACGTAACATGCTTGTGTTTTTGCACACACAACCTACCGTTGAGCCACCTGGAATCATGCTGCTCCGTTCTGATTGGGTGGTGGTGTCCAAGAGTTCTGAAGATAGCAAAATCTCGCCCCATAAAGTCAGCTGCAGTCCCAGAGTATAGTTCTCCATCTGCGTTGTGACAGAATGAAACCACATACACATACTTTAATTCAATTAAGGAAAGAAAAACAAAACAAATCAAACAGAAGATAAGTTACATGTTCTGACCCTACTAGAAAGTACACAGATATGCTATCTGCATCATTATACAGTTACTCGTTTTTATCCTTTCTCTTTGTTGAAAAGAGTATTTTATTATGCAATCACTCACTGATTAAGAATCTACTCCGTAAGTGCCAACTTCAAATAACTGACTAAAATACAGTTTGGTGGACAGTACTAAGACCTAACATTTATTCTTTTCTATTATAACATGAGACAAAGTGCAAAATACCTAGTATACTCATCACATTTTTAAAGGTGCAAAGCTACTGTAGTTCTAATATCCTTATTTATTAGGTTAAGATATCACTGTAAAATCTTCTGTAGTTTTTATTTTAATGGAAATTAATTTTCAATATATTTCCTTTTTAGTGGTACCTGAATTAGTAAGATTCTGGAATACTTTAGAAAGAAAAGTCATTTTCCTCACCAAAATTTTTTTCTTGCTTTTTAATTTTTGAATGTAGGAGGTGGGAGAAGTGCTCTTAGTAAAAGTTATTAACATAGTCTAAAGCAAGTCCATCATGTAGTTTCAGCTATAAAAGAAATGTGTCTTATTCACATGGTTTCAGATATAAAAGAAATGGGACAAATACAGGTCATAAGCTCCACAGTTTAAGATTATACTGTGTTTTTTACTCATTTTTACTTAAATTAACTCTAGGTCAGAGTTATAATGGAGGAATCATAATCACAAGGTTAAAAGAAAAAGGAAAAGGTAAAAGGGAGGAGAAAGAGCAGTTAATATTTACTGAATACCATTCTGTGTTTGCTGGGCAGTCAGGCACTGGTTTGACACTCAAATTATCTCATTTAGTTCTGTCAACAACAGCATGATGTAAATGGTATCCCTGCTTAACAGTTCAAGAAACCCAAGGTTGCTCAGCTGATGACTAGTAGAGTAAGGGTAAAAGTTCAAACTCAGGCCTGTTTAATCCCTAGCCTCTTGCACTAAATTGTACAAGCTTTTAATAAGCTGAAGGTTGTACAAATTACTTTTTCTTTCCTTTAAACAAAAAATACCTCATGTTATTTCATCCAGGAAACACATAATTGCTTACTAACTTATAATGAATTATCAGCAAAATGAAAAACAAAAAAGTGTGAAATCGTCTTGAAGTAAAATTACCAGTAAACTCAGTATTATCTTGTTGATCATTCGGGTAAGTTCATGTTTCTGAATTCAGTGACTTGAAAAATAATCAGAAAATAAAATAGGCATAGATAAATTATAAATTAAACATTTGTATAACACTATTATTTCCAAAGGATTTTCATATTTATATTGAATTTCATATTTATATTGAATATTTGTTAGATAAAGCAGAAACCTTCTGTGTATCTTTAATTATAAATGCCTTTGGGAAAGTCTTACGGATCTGATTTCTCCTGTGATATTCTTTGGTCACACACTCAATTCTCACCTATACATGAAGCCTTTATAATGAAAATAGACAGTCTCAGTGGTCTAACTCAAATCAGTTCCTTTGGTAGAGCCTATGGTTCTCTGAAGTGTCTCGATGCACCAAATTTTAGATGATGTCCAAGGCGGTGGAGAAGAGTGAAGCAGAACAATGGATAACTCCAGGTTATAACTTGAAATATTAATAAAAAGATACCTTATCTTACAGACTTTAAGGATACTGATCAGTATTTTGGACTGTTGTGAATCAAAACAAAATGATGATTTGATAATATATTCAAATGAATGGTACTCATAGAACATCCTAAGTTGTCATAATATGGTATCTTTGGAATTTAAAGGCATCTTGTGCTCTCTTCCCTTAATTAAATATCAAGTTCAAATCTGCCCTCTTCTCACTGTAGTAGCTGCAATAATATTTTACCTACACACAAGGTAAAAAAAAAAAAAAAACCTTTTTTTAAAGTTTACTTATTTATTTTGAGAAGACCGGGGGGGGGGGGGGAGAGGGAGAAAGAGACTCCCAAGTAGGCTCCATGCTCTCAGGACAGTCTGATATGGGGCTCAGTCCCACAAGCTGTGAGATCATGACCTCACCTGAAATCAAGAGTTGGACGATTAACTGAGTCACCTGTGTGCCCCCAAAATAAACCTTTCCTAAGCAAAATTCTATGAAAGAGCTACCTATGAGTTTCAAAGATAAGTGCTTACTGTCTCCTTAATTGTAACTTACATTTAATCACTAAAATACTTTCATTAGGGTTACTATTTTATCTTTTTACAAATAATTGATAAATGGATGTAACAGATTTTTAAACTTCAGGCGTATTATTCTTCTTGATCTGTGTGAATAAGAAAGTATTACTTAAAAATGTGTTATAATAGCAACCTAAAATGTTCATGTTAATTTCAAATTTTCATGTTGCAACAGCTGTCATAGGATGCCTTGTGTCTTCTTTACCTTGAAAAATCAAAAGTATTAAATTATTAGTTGAACCTCATTGCCCTCTCAAACACGTGCTACGTGATAAAAATCAGGAAAGGTGAAAACAGAATCACCAAAAGTGAAAACTGAACAATTTCATATCAGAGTATAGTCAGACACAACATGTCCAACAGAAGGTTTAATCATAAATGGAAGAGTAAAGAATGTCAGTAATTATTCTTTTTAAGTATCTCTGTGACTTATTTTATTATATAACTGGAAATCAGTAGATTTAATTCCTTTCCTTTAATCTTTTTTTTTGGCCTGTATTAGTGTAAGTAAAATCAGTGTGAGTTGCTATTATGTGTAAACTCCATGCACAGTAGAAGTGAAAAAACACCATCAAAAGTGGTAGATATATAGAAGTATTTGTTTCTCTTACTAATTTATGTACTTGTTTTATAACTTACACTTTTATTTATGGAAAGCAAAAATCAATACAAATGAAGGCAAAGGCAGAAAGACTGATTTTGTTTCCCTTTTGACAAGAGGTAAGTAGGTTATTTAGAGAAAGCAGAGAATTCTTCAGTAGGAGAGCTACTGATCAATTTAATATTAAAAGCAGAGTTAAAGAGTGGACTCAGAAACCAAAGGAAGTTTGCAGTTTAGGCACCAGTTGCCTCCAGTCATAGGAAATGCCCTCCCACCTGAATACTATTTTTAGCAAGAGTCAATGTGATTTCTGTGAGCTATAGGGCACCAGGTGATTTAGTGGCCATGAAGGATACATTCTCATATTCCCAATGCTAAATATCAGTAGCTTTTTAAAATAATATATATTTTTTAAAATGTTGGTTTATTTTATTTTTTTGTTATTATTTTGAATGTTTATTTATTTTTGAGAGAGAGACAGAGTACGAGCAGGGACAGAATCCAAAGCAGGCTCCAGGCTCCGAGCTGCCAGCACAAAGCCTGACACGGGGCTTGAACTCATGAACTGTGAGATCATGCCATGAGCGGAAGTCTGATGCTTAACTGACTGAGCCACCCAGGTGCCCCAAAATAATACATATCTTTAACAATGTATTTTTTTTTGAGGTCAAGGAGGTTGTTTCCTGCTTTCTCCTCTAGGGTTTTGATGGTTTCCAGTCTCACATTCAGGTCCTTTATCCATTTTGAGTTTATTTTTGTGTATGGTGTGAGAAAATGATCTAGTTTCATTCTTCTGCATGTTGCTGTCCAATTCTCCCAGCACCATCTGTTAAAGAGGCTGTCTTTTTTCCATTGGATACTCTTTCCTGCTTTGTCAAAGATTAGTTGTCAGGATTAGGAAAAACTTAACGGAGGACCATGGGGGAGAAACAGAGGGGAAATGGTGGGGGAAAGGGAGAGAGGCAAACCATGAGAGACTCTTGAATGCTGAGAACAAACCGAGGACTGATGGGTGTTGGGGGGAGGGAGGAGATGGGCATGGAGGAGGGTACTTGTGGGGATGAGCACTGGGTGTTATATGGAAACCAACTTGACAATAAACTATTTGTAAAAAATAAAATAAAAATAAATTAAAAACAACAATGTATTTTTTTTTTTATTTTTAGAGAGAGAGTGCACAAGTGGGGGAGAGGGGCAGAGGGAAGGAGGGAGAGAGAGAGAGAGAGAGAAAATCGGCAGGGTCCTATGCAGGATTCTATCCCACAACCCTGGGATCATAACCCAAGACGCTATCAAGAGTCAGATATTTAACCGACTGAGCCACCCAGGCACCCCAATATCAGTAACTGTTTTTTATATCAGGCCTTAATGCAGAATTTCTGCTGAGATGCTGATTCTTAGCAGGGATGACTATTCCAAAGAAACTGTATTTCATATTTATTATCTGGTCCAAATGTATAAGTCTTAGAATATATACTACTTTTGCATTTTCATAAGCAAATAAATAATAACTTAGAATATATTTTATTTAATATATGTGTGCATTTCCACCATGGATTAAAGACTTAGTACATTTTGTGGCTCTATAAAATGATGTAATGAAAACTGAGTATAAGAAATTTACTATACTTCAGTTGGCTTATTTTTGAACAAACATGTTTTTTGAACAAACATAATTTGCCAAACTTCTTTTGTAGTTTCTAGGCCTTTTATAAAGTTCTCAAGTTACATGCTGATCCTTGGACAGATCGCTAATTTTCCAGTTTTCTGACCCTTAATATAAGTCTTCTTGAAAATCTGAAGTAATATATAGGTAAATGTTATCCTACAATGATTCAAATAGCATTATGGTTAAGACACATTTTTTCCATATATACTAAGTTAGTGGTGAAAGAAAATATGACATTTACTCAATTTTATTAAATTGCTGGTATAATAATATACCTAAGGAATTGTTATATATATCAAAGTAATTGTAGATATTCAATTAGTTTTCAGTCTCTACAAAAAAACACCAGATAGCAAGTTTGATATCTCAAAAATAATACATCAGACTGAGAAAAACTAGTACTGACATATGTAACTAACAACCTAAAAACTGTCAACTATGAAAGTTGCTATTTGAGTACACTGCGTTCTTTCTCAACCATAAGTTTTTTAACTGTCTCTAAGGAAAGCATTCTTTACTGAGATGAACAAAAAGTTTAGTGAAAGCTGCATGAAATGAAAGTTGCATTTCCACCATGGCAGAGGTTACCTGAGAAGCATGTGTTAAAAACAAAAAGTTCATATGTACTCTGCACTTTATGTTCACAGCTCAATATGAAGTAAAAACGTGGCTTAGATCAATTAACGTATTGGGTTACAATTCCTAAGAAGGGTGTGGTGAGAAGTAGATGTGAAAAAAACATTTCCTGATGAAACTGCAGCATTACTAACACAGGTGTAACGTGTGACATGGATGTTGAGCAAAAATCAAACAAACCTAAAGACAAGCCATTATGCTGTTAACACCTTAAGTAAATTCACTCACACAATAACATAGTAATTACAAACAGAGGAAAAATAAACTTATGTCTCTTTCTTTTTCACAGATACACACACACAAACACAGAACATGGATGTAATCCATTTCTTGAGAGTGGAAAGGTTTGGGAATAATTTTACATTTTTACATTTATTGAGCATTTTCTCTGCATGATAAATATAATGTGCTGCGTTTGTTACTTTTATCATCCTTTTAGAACTAACATTTTGAAGTAGTTAATATGTGCATGTGGTACAAAATCTGAAATATAAAATTTATAAGGTATCAAATCTGTCTTTCAGGCTCTCAGTCTCATTTACAGCAATGATTATTACTTTTTTTCTTGGTTTCCACTTCTACATATATTCCAGAAATATGTAGGCACTCAAATGTGAAATGCCAATAAGTGTCTTATTTACTTCTCACAACAAACTAGTGGAATTAGAGTGTCTATGCCATTTTACATATGAACAAAGTGAGGCTCAGAGAGGTTCAAATAATACTTTCAATTATAGTTAATTAATTTAGGGACTACCTCATTTGATCTAATACCAAGTGAGAGCATATTCTAATGTCAAATTACATTCTCTCTGAGGCAAGGCAGAATTCTAGCTTGGAGAAACAGACCATAACTAAAAGTCTTAGATCTTTGCCACAGATTTCAATAACAAGATTTACTGATGGATTCTTTCTAAATTATTAGCATTACAATGACTGGAGAAGACTTCAATGAGGAAATAAAACTGCTTTCAAATTGACTATTCCTTTTATGTCATGAAAATGTGAGATGACACTTAATTAGTGAGGAAAATACAAGATTTTATTCTTGTAGCCACACCTGGCATTTATTCTGAGCAGGGGAGAAACTGCTATTTTTAATTTAAAAAATTAAACAAAGTCATTAAAATATTTACAGGTAGATGAAATAAGAAATACTTAAAAGTAAATACTGGAGCTATTTTGTATTGACAAAATGATTTTTATTAAAGGAGATTTGAAAAATTAACATTACTAAGGACATTTAAAAACTTAGGACATGTTATAGGATTTGGAGACTTAATTTAGTAGCTAGCTATGCCTGGCTCAGGAGAGAATCCATATTTTCTGTGGTGAATGGCTTAAAAACCTATGGCATTTTGAGAAGAAGGTATAGTAAACCTTGATAAATTTCATAAACTAATTTTTAAGCTGTCATCTAGTTTTAAAGCTTATTAATGGTTGACCCTGCTTACTAGGGGGACTGGTGATATGAAAAGTATCTGCTGTCTAGATTCAGTTAGCCAGTTTATAGGTGGTTTGAGCCACACATAAAATTTTATTTTCCAGTACTGGGGATGGAAATAGCCAACAACTAAATTTGAAATTTGAAAAATTCTCTTATGTGCTGAAATAAAGAGAATATATTCAAAATCTCTGGGGCAGATAGACTTTCCCAGTAGCCAATCTCTAATACACAATGTAGTATCTGTATGTTTCAGAAGACAGTTGTCATTGTTGTATGTAAAAGTCTGGGGAGATATTCATGTTGAAAAACCTCCATTAAATTAGCAAGTACTCTTTCTAAAGAAGCACAAGAAAAAAATGCCAAGAAAATCTACCAAGGGGAATTAAGTGCACTGTGAGAAGAAGAATTTATAGCATAGTCATAAAGAAATCAAGTAACAAAGTCACTGCTCTTGAATGAAAATGATGTTTTCATTCCGATATTTTGAGGGAATTTCATTTTTCTGTACCTTGCTATTCAGCGGATTCAGATATTAATTTATGTTAGCTTGAATACTTTTCCTTGTCAATAAGCACTAAATACCTCTAAAAGTTACTCAACTATGTGACCATATCGGATAAATGAGGTCTGGATTTCCATTTAAAAGCTGCTTTTTTAGCCATACATCCTCTTCTTGACTCATGAAACTTCCATCATTCTCTTTCCCTTTTCCCAAACCTAAACAGCTTTTTCAAAGAAGTTCTAATATAAAACCAAAACTATGGAATTTCATATTCTTTGTGGACTCGTGTGGCTGCATACCATATGAACTATGTAATACTTACCTGTCATCATCCTTTCTCAATGGAATATTAAAATAAATAATCAAGCAAATCCCCACTGAGAAACATACCACAAATTAAAGCTGCTTTAGGCACGAGTTAACATACTTCTTTTTGAAGAATATCTGTCTCTTTTTTTTTCAGTATGCAATTTAAATAAGTATAGGCTGCAAGTTTGAGCAGGGTAGAACTCCCCTTTGTTTAGCACAACTTTCAAATTTCTGTGTGTGCACTTAAGGAAGTCATCTACATGTAATCGCTAGGCCATCTGTGAAGAGGAAAATTGTAAGTGTGCCACGTTTGCTGCATTCTTCCAGGTCTTAAACTTTTGTTAAAATGCTCCATAAATGGATCAAATGGACTAGAATTGTCTACATTTGAAAAGCAATAGAGGAGATAATTCATGTTGTAATGTTCTTATTCTTAATAGAAAAGAGATCAGAGATCAGTGGAACATATTAGTAAAGTAAACACTAGAGAATAGTGGTAAAAATATATCTTCATAGTTAATGCTGGAGTCAGTATGACAAGTTTATTTTTTTAAGTAGAAAAAAGTTACTTTTTAAAAACAAAAGACTGGCAAAATTGAACCTTATGACATATCAAATAATGATGTAAGTTTACTTTTTAAAAATCTAGATTTCTTATTCAAAATTCAATTAGAAATGTTATGCTTGGAAAGTTTCACTACCATTTTTGTTATGTTATCAAATAATTACTTTCTATATTTTATAGAAAAGGAAATCAAAAAAAGAAAAGCAAATGAAAGTTATATAATTTACATGATTAGATAGAAAAATTATTCAGGAAAAGAGTAATGATTCAGAATATTTTTGTTTGTTTGTTTGCTGGCATTCCTAAAAGTTTGAAAAAAAAAGAAGAAAAGAAAAATTGTTTAATGACATATCACTTTTTGTTCATGTGTTTATTTAGCGATAGTCTAAAGATGATTGAAAATATGTGGAAAGAATTTTTTATTTTTCAATATAGATTAAAGTTTTCTCCCTCTTTTGCTTACTCTGATCTTCCTATCTCTATCCTTTGAACTATGACTAAGGATTCCCCACCCATCTGCATTGTTGAAGGAAAAGAAGAAAGAAGACAACCAGAAAAGATGGTTAGAGGAAAGTGTAGAGGAAATACATTAAATGTTTGTTAGATTTTTTAAAAATGGCATAAAGTAAAAAAGAAACAAAAAAGATGAATACAAAAGCCCTTCATTTATTCAAGGTGACACAATAGGGTCTCTGCCAATTGTCTGACCATTAAAACCGATTGTACTGATTAAGTTATCCAAATGTTGAGAGCCTGACAAATCTTGTAATTACAATGAACAAAGATAATCTCGTTCTTTCCTTCTGACTTGACAAAATTCTCGGGGTGCCTGGGTGGCTCAGTCAGTTGAGCATCCGACTTTGGCTCAGGTCATGATCTCATGGTTTGTGGGTTGGAGTCCCGCATCAGGCTCTGTGCTGACAGCTCAGAGCCTGGAGCCTGCTTCAGATTCTGTGTCTCCCTCTCTCTCTGACCCTCCCCTGCTCATGCTCTCTCTCTCTCTCTCTCTCTCTCTCTCAGAAATAAATAAAAATTAAAAATTAAAAAAATTCTCCCTTGAAACTCCCCTTTTATATAAAATGAAAACCAAAACCATTTACTCACAGAATAAGAATTTTAGTCTTAGTGCGGATACATAGTGATAGAGCAGGAAATTTTAAGGACACATATTAAACCATTTTGATTAAAAAAAATCACAGACTAGACAGTATAATAATCAAAGCAGCATTTAGTATTTTTTTCTTCGTTTTCAAAATATTTGAAAATATCTCAACTGACATCCTCCTAAAATAGTTTGTGATTAATAACGGAAAATCTTGGTATAGAGAAAGGAACAATCTGGTTGTTATCTACAGAAAATTAACTGTTTAACTGTGGACTACGCACCTATTAAAAGAGATGCCGTCAGCAGTTTAGGGTCATATGGACTCTTCCCACGGCCATTTTCAAAATGTGAGTCCTCCAGCTTAAAAGTGTTATCCTGTAGGAAAGAAAAAGAAGTGTTGAATTTATTTAAAAGAAGAACTAAGTTAACATACCTATTAGAGAGAGCCTGGGCATTCATATCTACCATCAAGAGGTAAACTTTAGAGATGTATTTGTGTAAACTTTAGAGATGGCAAAATAATTTAAGTGGGTTAAAGCCAACTATTAGTAGCCAAGTATCTACTTAGCTTAGTGATTACTAGTACCATTTAACATGTTATAAGTGAATTCTCAGGGATGAGACCTGTCATGGTAAGAACAGAGTGATCATTTTATCACATCAGTATGCCAACCATGACCCTAATGGCTCTTGAAGAAAAGAATTTTAAATTTAAATGATTCCTTTTCTTCCTTCACATAGGGGAAAACATAGCAATCCTGTATATTAGATATCTACAACAAGATATGCTATCTTTTCCATATGTACTTTTCAGAAGGAAATGCTAATTAACCATAGCAGTCACTTCACCTACCTCTATTGTTCCTTCAACTTTTCTGTTTAAAAGTTTCTCTGGAGCACACCAGAAGGTGGGAGATACCTGAAACTGTCTTTCTTAATTTCTCTAAGTGTGAAAAGTCACATTGTATGTTAGGAGAGGTGTTGCCTAAAGGTAGTGTCATCAGAACACTAGCACAGAGGTGACATATTTTTATCACAGGGAAATCTGCTCAGCTGAGGCTCAGGCACCCAGAACTGGAGTGAACATTTCACTACATACAGAAATATGCACAGGTACCAAGGTAGAAAGTATTCTAGAAAGCACTGCAACAAAAGCCTTAATAAGGAAGGAAGTAACTCATGACTGAGACCCGGTTCTCAGAATGTGTCTAGCCACTGAAATGTCTACGTGACAATGGAGTAAATTGAGGAGAGGGGTAATTTCTAAACACTCTTTTTTAGAACCAAGTGCTCTGGGAATGAGTTAGGTCAGAATATACATGCTTTTTCCAGTAGCACATTAACTTGTCCACAAGCTGAAATAAAATAGCTTTTTTGGCAATTTCTCTACTCTTCACATATAGTATTTTCTACCTCCTTAGAATAATAAAGGGTATTCATTTTATGGCCAATAAGGATCACTTTAATATTTCTGATGGAACTAATGGCAGAGTTTCAAATTTTGACTCTTTAAATTCATTTGAGGTAGGGAAGAAGAGTGAAAAAGGAAGCCAACCAACAATGTTTGCTATCTTTATTACTGTGAGTGAGAATTACTGACTTTAGCCTTTCTTTGCAGTAATTCAGTATTTGGTAATTAGCTACCCCTAGCAATGATGGTCATTTAGCTGAGTTCTGAAACTTACAGAGCACAGAAATTTATGGGGTTTCTCAGAATTGTGCTAAGCTTTAATGGGAAGGTCAGTGAGTCAAAAGTCAGGCCCCCCTTGGCTCAATGATTACCTCTGTTTTTTTCTTTCAACTATTAATATCTCTGAGTTTAGGTCTCTCAAAGCCAATGGTGATAGGATATCTAACCTCACGTTTATTGTGAGGATTAAAGAACTGAAATAAAGGAGCAAAATAGAAAACCAAACACAATTTTCTTTTACTTTAATACTGTTCACATAACCACTATAACCAAAGAATATTCAAATTTAGCACATATTGTTATCATTATTGTAAACTTTCCTAGTATAATTTGAAAAAAATATTACTTTAGGACAGTTGCCAAATTATAAACTTATTTACAAATACAAATTTATCATAGGCACTTGAATGTTAAAATTATAACATGAAACTTGACACATGCCAAGAAAAAGCACAGAAGAATCTCTTGAGTATTATTTAGAAATATTTTGATAAAAATTAAGTAATAGCCCAAAAGATATGCTCAGTAAAAGATACATACTCTATTGCCACAAATCACAGAATATGTTATTAAAATTTGTATGTATGATTATTTCTCACAATAAGGAAGCAGCAGGAAATGATGGTGCAGCTAAAAATACTGTTATAAATATTACTATAAATTTCTTGTCTTCATAAGACAGTTTATGATACTGACAAAGATAAAGGAGATAATCCATCAAAGTACGAGACACTGAATGTCTGGGATCATGTGTCCAAGTTAGTAAGACAATGCCAAGGTAGATAAGAAGTACTTCCAACCTTACGTTTGATATTTGACTTACAAGGTAACGGATTAAACTTCATAGAACAGAGGTTAAGCATGTCAGTTATGGTTCAAGAGAAGATAAAAAATTACCCTTTGCCATGGTGTCAGATAATGTGCTTTGAGCTGGCCTTTTCCTTTTCCCTTTTTCCTTTAAATGTAACTCTCACCCAAATTTCTGTGTATCCATCATGTAATTCTATATTCTTATACAGGTTTACTAAAGGGTAAAACAATGAATTTCCTTTCCAGCTTACTGACAGGTAGTCTGAATAAGTATAATTTGATTTCTGAATAGGAAGGTAAAAGACATTTCTTATATACAAATGTTTATAGTGTAAAATTCATACCATTACGTACAATAATGGGGTGCAAAAGTGTTGATATCAGACAGAACTGAGTATTATTCTGGATCTGTGTTTTATTAATTCTGGGCCTCAGGCAATTCCTACATCCTTCTGAAACTCAAATTAGTATGCTCTCTAAAAATAGTCATTAATTTCATTTTTCCACTGTCTATTGTTGCCACAATAAAATAATTCTTTCCTATATTGATCGATACCTCTTGTGCCACACTGGGAATGCCTGCCTATATATGCATCAGTGAAAATTGGGAGAGCTATTTAAAATATATGTAAATGCCTTGGATTCCCAAGATGTGATGAAAATTTTTCTTACTTATAGCTAGATCACAGTCTAGTTCAAAAGCTTACCTGAAAAAATATCACAAATTATAATAGGTATAAAATTTCTCAACTAACTTACTATCCTTTTAATATGCCTGATGTGATTGGTAAGAAAAAACAACTATAATGCTGTTTTTTGTCTTGTAAGCAAGACCTATTAGATGTGTGAAGACTAAACCCATTGTAAAAAAAGAAAGAAAAAAAAAAGCTCTGTGTGTTAATATAACGGGAGAATAACATCCTATGTTGTCATATGTAACATATCACACAGACAACCCGTCTGGCTGGGCTTAAAAGGGCTTTTGAAATCTGATTGCTACTCAATGATTTTCTGTTTTAAGAGTGTTAGATAGATCACATGTGTAAGTAATAAGACCAGGAATTCTAAGACCAATGTACATAATTAAACTTCATAGCTTATGTGTCTTATTTGGGCTGAAGTGATTTTCATTTTTAGAAATACACAAACAAAAATCTAGCTGCGTGGATTCTAATTGCTTTAGCAGATACTATGAGCATATCATATAAGTTATTGGGCTATATTTTATTACATGATTGCATCAGTTTTCAGCAACTATTTTTAGCTTTCAAGACCACTCTTTCCCCTTTGTCTTTTGGATTTCCTGAATGTTATTAGACTGTGGTGAGGTAAGGCATTAGAGGAAATAATAACTGTGCTAATGTCTAATCCAAAGTCTTATAAATTATAAACCGTTGGTGACATCATGGCAATAAATTTTCTAAATCTCAATCTTCCCCAAGTAATAAATTTAGGGAACAAAGTTTAATTTTAGTTGTTTTATTTAATGATTAAAACATAAATGATGTTTGTAAAAAAAAAAAAAAGAAAAAAAAGAAAATCCTACATATATATGATAGAATGACCATTTGGAGTGGAAAATTAAATAAAATTAAGTCAAACCAATACTTGGACAGTATTTAAAAACATATATTATTCTGTTTTCTTTCAAATTCCTTTCTCCTCTCCTGCTCTTGGTAATGACACCTTGTTTGAAAGTTATATTGAATTATCAAATATTCTCTGGTCACGCTATTCTTTTTCTCATCTCTGCCTAAGACCTCTTTCTTCTTCCCTCACTTACACTCAGCCCTCAACCCCAGGGTGAACTTCCTTTCCTTTAAGAGTAAATTAAAAAGTCTCTTCCTAGGAGAAGTCTTCAGAGATTCCTGCAGATATAATTTATTAGCTCCCTTTGTGTATATCCTAATTAACAATACTATGAAGGCAATGACTATATTGGCTTCAGTAAAGACGGGATGTAACAGGATCTCACAGGAAATATTGTGGCATACTGCATTTTGCCCAAAGGAGATGCTTTTGTGGATCAAATTCATATGGAATTTACTTTTCCTAAAAGGTGACTAGATCTATGTTGTGCAATATTATAGCCATGAGCCACATGTGGCTGTTTAATTAATTAAAACTAAAAATTCCATTCTTCAGTCACACTAGCTACATTTCAAGTGCTCAATGGTCACATGAGGTTTGTAAATACAGTACTGCATAGATGCAAACATTTCCACTGTCACAGTTCTACTAGACATGGAGCTCTAGATCCAGAATCCCATTCCCTTAACAGCAAAGAAGAAAAGTGGAAATCAGAAGGCCTCCACAGAAAGATGACTTGTCATCACACCAGAGTCATGGTTAAAAAAAAAAAAAAAAAAAAAAAAAGTCCGTAAAATCTACAAGGAGGAATTATACTAAAAACACTACTTTTCTATTTTTTATTAACCAGGGTTATATTAAGTAACATTTAATGAAAGTACAGATGAATTCTTGTGTGTCATTCTTCCATTTGAACCACTTTTCTTTAATCTACGCAGGTATACATTTTACTCATTACTTAAAGTTCAGGTCATACTACACAATCCATTAAATGTTTATTGATTTTCCATAGCAGAAAAAATATTTTCTCCCTGGAACTTGCAAGCAATCTATTCATACCCTCTTAGTGTCATTTGTTACTTTTAGCCTTGATATTCCATGATGCATGTGTTCTTTTTTTTTTCCTACCAAATCATTTTGAGTAGAGAAAAAGATGTTATTTTTATTATTTTTTCTCAAATACTATAACAGAACTTTGCACTGAGTTAAAGCTCAGTAGAAGAATGAGTGAATGAATGAGACTCTGTAGAAAAACTATAGCTCAGGGATAGAAAGAACAAAAGCC